CCATATATTGACCTTTGTAACTTACACACCTGACCAGGTTTGGAAGAAGTCATTCCAGGAGGCAAACGCATATAAACTTCTTCATGAAGATCACCATGAAGGAAGACGTTATTGACATCTAGTTGCTTTAAATGCCAGTTATGAACAGCAGCTAAGGCTAAGAGAAGGCGGACAATTGTAGTCTTAGCGACCGGAGAAAAAGTGTCAAGATAGTCCTGACCTTCAATTTGAGTGTACCCCTTGGCAACTAAGCGTGCCTTATACCTTTCAACAGAACCATCTGCTCGATATTTGACTTTGTAAACCCATCGACATCCAATAGCACTCTTATTGGAGGGAAGGTCAGTAAGAATCCAAGTATGGTTGGAGGTCAAAGCTTGAATTTCATCATTCATAGCCTGTAGCCAGTGAGGATGTTGAGAGGCTTCTGCATAAGATGTTGGTTCATCTTGGGAGGAAACAGCCAATACAAATCTATGATAAGAGGATGACAATCTGTGATATGATAGCACCGAAGATAAAGGATAACGACTACCTGGAGAATGAGTGGTGACAGTTGATGAAAAATTAGTGTGAAAGTCCTTATATTTGTTAGGTCTGTGTTTTTGCCTGCAGAACGTCGAGGGACAGAATGGATAGGTGGAGAAGAGGGAATGGAGGTGATTTCAATGTGTTGATCAGTTTCAGGTGCAGGCAAAGGTAACTCATCATCCTTTTCGTCATACAAAATAGGATGAGAATAAGTTTGTAATCTAGGAGGCAAATCAAGGGGATCTGTTTTAGAATTTGTGGAGGAATATGGAAAACAATCTTCATAGAAGACAACATTCCTTGAGATAGAGACGTCTCGAGATTGGAGGTTAAAAGTGATATAGCCTTTGGTATGTTGTTTAAAACCAAGAAAAATGGAAGGAGTGGCTCTAGGATCAAGTTTCTTTCTATTGTTCACTAATGTACTCATGTAGCATAAACAACCAAAGACTTTAAGGAGATCAAGATTGTATGGTTTGTGGTATAATTTCTGGAAAGGTGACAGATTGTTAAGAAAAGGTGTAGGCATGCAATTTATGAGAAGAACAGCATGAGTTAATGCAAAACACCAAAAAATGGGTGGTAAATTGGATTGAAATAGAAGGGCACGGGTGACATTTAATAAGTGTTGATGCTTTCTCTCAACGACCCCATTTTGTTGGGGTGTTTCCACACAAGATGTCTGATGCACAATACCGGTGGTTTGAAAAAAATGTGTCATTATGAATTCAGCACCATTATCAGACCTTATGGCACGAACCTTAGTGTCAAATTGTCTCTCAACAAAGGAAATAAAAGATTTTAGGTGAGTTTGTGTCTCAGCTTTAGAGAGCATTGGAAAAGTCCAAGCAAAACGAGTATGATCATCAACTATAGTAAGAAAGTATTTATGACCATTTAATGATGTAGTGGCACAAGGCCCCCAGATGTCAACATGTATGAGAGAGAAAGGAGAAGAAGCATATGACTCGCTTTGTGGAAAAGAAAGCTTTCTTTGTTTTGCTTTATGACATGTATCACAAACGAAATTTTTATCACTATACAAAGTGGGGTAACACTGTTTTAGTAGCTGTAATCTATCATGAGAAGGGTGACCCAAACGAAAATGCCACAAATCAATTGGTATTTTATTACAAGAAAATACAGACTTGACATTTGGAGAGACATTATTAGAGTGAGTATTTGATTTGGCAACAGGCATCTTCAACTTATACAAACCATCCACAACATCAACTGTACCAATCATCCTCTGGTTGGTCACGTCCTGTATCAAGCAATGATCATTGGAAAAAATTAATTGGAATTTCAAAGAAGAAACCAAATTTGAAATAGATATGAGATTAAAGCTGAAGCTAGGCAAGAATAAAACATCCTCCAAATAGAAGTATTTAGTAAATTTCACAACTCCTGAATGTGTGGCTATGACCTGTTGTCCAGTAGGTAAGCTAACAACCACAGGATTAATCTTTTTAAATGTGGAATAGAGATGTAGAGAGGATGTAACATGATCTGTTGCCCCAGAATCCAAAATCCAAAAATTTGAGTTATTTTTATTCATGTTACATGTAAGTGAAAAAATATTACCAATTTGATTTATGTGAGAGGCATTGGTACTCGTCCCTCCATTATGCTGCTGAAGTAATGACATCAATGTTTGGTACTGTTGTGGAGTAAGTCTCATATCCTGATTTTGATTTTCCTGCTTAACTTTGTCATTGCCCTCTTGAGGGTTGTTCTCATCTCTCACTGTGTTATTAATGTGTGCGCCTGATGTCTTATGCAGTCTATGTCCAGGTGGATACCCATGTTTTTTGTAACACTCTTCAACTGTGTGGCCATTGAAACCACAATGGGTGCAAACTTTACCACTTCGTCCTGCTGTCCCCCCTCTACCAGAACCACTACCTCCTTTACTTCCTCTGTTAGAAGAAAGGTTTGAGGGATAACCATTCTTCTTATAGCATGATTCCACTGTATGCCCCTCTCTTCCACAATAGCTACAAGAGTAATTAGTTCTTGATGACAGAGAGCTAGCCGCATTGATAACATTCAGGTTTCCAACAATATCAGAATTGGTAAACTGTCTTTCTTGTTGTACAACATAGGAAAACACCTTGGCAATCGAAGGCAAGGGATCCATCATCAAAATGTTTGATCTCACATTATGATATTGGTCATTCAATCCTCTTAGAAACTGCATTATTCTGTCTTGCATCTTTCTCAACATAACTTCTGTGAGTGCATTACATAAACACTTGACATCACAGGTGCAAAAAGGATCTGGTCTGTAACTCTCAAGTTCATCCCAGATCATTCTCAATTTTGTAAAATAATCAGTAATGTTTGCGTCACCTTGTCTTATCGAAGCTAATTCTTGTTGTAGGTCTGAAATTCGTAACAAGTCCCCTTGTGAATACCTGACTTTTAAATCCTTCCATATATCAATTGCATTATCCATCCATAGAATGCTCTGCCGAATCAAAATAGAGACCGAGTGTACAAGCCATGATACAACCATATTATTACACCTCTTCTAGACTGAGAATAGCACGTGATCTGGTGCGGGTTGTGTGATAGTTCCATCAACAAACTCCACCTTGTTCTTGGAACTCAAGGCAATAAGCATTGATCGACTCCACGAGTTGTAATTCGTAGGTTCTAACAGAGGAGAGACAAGCGTAATGGCTAGATTTTCGTTAGGATGCAAATAATAGGGACTATGAACATTTAGGGTTTGATCGGATTGTGTATCCATCATGCAAGAAAATCAATCGAATAAAAAAAAAGGGACCAAAAAGGTGAAGAGAGGGAGGCGAAACTCTAATTAACCAAAAGGGGAAAACGAGATTGAGAGAGAGACGAAACTCCGATTAACCAAAGAGAAAGAACGATTGAGTCGCGCAGCAGAGCTCTTCAATTGAAGAGCTCTGATACCATCAAGAACCACAATCGTGCCATGAAGAAAGAAGAAGCAAAAAAGAAACCAAGAAAAGAGAAAGGCACCAGAAGCAAAAAATCGTGTATTATGCGTGATCAGTTTTAATTACAGGACAAAGAAACTTTATATACTTGTACATGGAAGAGACAAATTAACCCCTAAAATGCTAACTAACAGAAAAGAAATAACCAACGTAACAAACAAGGCTAATACCAGTACTTTAGATTTTGCAATGCGTAAAATAATCTTTGCTTGCATATATATGAATTTGTTTATCTTGGAATCAAGAGCATTTATCTCAAGCGTCGGTTCACTCATCATGAAGCAATAAGCATAGTAGGACTCCAGTCCCAGTAAATAAATATATATGCAACAAAAACAGATAAAATATTCTGTATAAAGAAATGACAGCTCATTTTACAAAAATGTTTGAATGCATTGAAAACAAATGTAAAGCTTTTGGGAGTCTAGCTCAATTATTAACGTTAATTGAGTAGGTTGTGTGACTATTATAAACTTTTTAAAATTAATTTCGATGAAGAATGTATGAAAAAAAACGGTGCAAGACAAGGACAAGCAGGGGGTTAACTTGTTAAACCTCGATCGAGGCTTGCCATTCTGGCTCAAATAAGACTTCAGAAAGAGAGAGATCGAAACATTTTGTTTTCACGTGTCCGACACTCTGTATGTTTACCGCGCCTACTCATTTCTCTGTTTTGTATATTATATACTAACATTATATTAAACTCAGTTAATATAAATTTTATTTAATAAAAAATACATTATTCATATAAAAATTATGCTACTACGCCATATGCATAAATAATTTTCTCATAAAAAAATAGAATGAAAATAATCGGTGTATCCTAGAAATTTTTTTATTTCTTTCCAACAAAACACGCTTACCTTTTTACATAAATAATAGATTTGTTTGTTTAAAATAATAAAAAAAAATAGTGTTTCTAAACAGGTAATTTAAAAAAAAATCTTTAAGAAGTAGATAAAAGTTGTTTCTATAAAAAGTAGAAAATTATTTATTTTAAAAAATTAAAATGTGGTTATTTTATTTTAAGAAAATACTTTTTATAAAAAAAGTTTAAAGAAAGAGATGGATATATGAAACTGAAATTATAAATACAACTAATGTGTTTGATAAAATTATTTTATAAATGAATTGAAAATTTTTAACCGGGTAACATTAGTTGCATTTGCATGCAGTAATTTATTTGGGTATTTATTTTGTAATAATGAATTTGGAAAAGAGAATGTGTGAGGAACGAGGATGGGCATTAAAAGGAAGAAAAGCAGTGTTACATCTTACATGTGGTGTGGGTTGAAACATTGGATAAATGAATGGAAGGTTAAGATTAGCGGGTGAAAGATGAAAGAGAAAGAGGGTGTAGGGGTAGGGTACAATTGTGACGTCACGTGTCGAGTAATTGTGGTGCATGGCCCATGTTGGATCCGCGAGACACTCCCATCCCAAGAAAATAACATCGGTGTGGTTGGGTTGCGAATAAATAACATGCTGAATTCAATTCAGTGGTCAGTGGTCACTCACACACACTCTTCTCTTTTCTCTCCTTGCAAATTCGGAAAATGGGTCCACGGGGGCATTCAGTTTTCCCATAAAGTCCCACATCGAAGATGGCGAACCTCTTGGACACCCTCTACTGCTCCGAGGAGCATTGGGAGGAAGAAGAAGAAGAAGATGATGATTACGTAGGCGGTAGCGGTAATACGAGTATGAGTATGAGTAGCAGCATTCCTTTGATGGTGGATGAAGAAGAGTTGAGATGGCTGGTGGAGAAAGAGGAAGCGGTGAAGAGGTGGGTGGGAAGCGACCCTGAGTTGGAGAGTGGTCGCAGAGAAGGGGTGGAGTGGATGCTCAAAGTCATCGCTCACTACTCCTTCTCTCCCACCACCGCTCTGGGGTGGAGTGGATGCTCAAAGTCATCGCTCACTACTCCTTCTCTCCCACCACCGCTCTTCTCGCCGTCAACTACTTGGACCGCTTCCTCTTAGCTTTCCGCTTTCAGAATGGCAAGCCATGGATGACCCACCTCGCTGCTGTCGCTTGCCTCTCCCTCGCTGCCAAACTGGAGGAGACACAAGTCCCCCTTCTCCTCGACCTCCAAGTGCGTTTCTTTCTACCTTAATTACCTCTCACTCTCTCTCTCTCTCTCTCCCATTCCTTTCTTAACATCTTCATTCTCCAGGTGGAGGACACTCCATACTTGTTCGAAGCCAAGGCCATCAAAAAGATGGAGATTTTCGTACTTTCCACTCTTGGCTGGAGGATGAACCCTCCCACCCCTCTCTCCTTTCTTCATTACATCACTGCAAGACTTGCCTTCAAGGATCACTTCCTCACCACCTGCGAGTCCCTTCTTCTCTCTCTCCTTCCAGGTAACTCATTTCCCACGTTACTACAACAATCAACAACTATAATCTATTTCTACTTATATCTTTTTTACATTGCAGATTCCAGGTTTTTCAGTTACCTACCCTCTGTCTTGGCAACTGCTACCATCATGCAAGTTATCAAAAACGTGCACCCTCGTCTAGAAGGTGAATACGAGAGCCAGATCATTGGTATTCTCGGAATCGACAAGGTTCATGTTCTTTCTTTAATTAATTGTAGTGTTCTTATGTTTATTATGTTTATTATTATTATTATTATTATATGATGTGTGAGTTAATTAAATGTGGAATGTATGTATGTGTGCAGGAGGAGGTAAATGAGTGTAGGAAGGTGATGTTGGAATTGTGGAGAGGGTGGGAGCAGAAGCAATGCATGAAACGCAAGTTTGGGTTGGGTTGGGCTCCAGGAAGCCCAAACGGCGTGATGGATGTGTCGTTTAGCGGGGATAGCTCGAATGAGTCGTGGGCGGTGGCGGCTTCTGTGTGTTCCTGGCCGGAGCCATTGTGGAAGAAGAGTAGGAGTGAAGAGCAGCTTCTACTAAACTCACATTTTCTATAATTTCAACTACCTTTCCTTCTTATATAGTATTTCCCTGCTTTAATAACCGCCTATCTTTCCTTTTCTCTTTTTGACCACCCAATTAAATTGCCAACCATCTCTGCCTCTGCCTACTGCCTACTGCCTACTGCCTACTGCCTACTGCCCACCACTCATTAGTTCATGGAATTAGATTACACCCCAAGATCCATGCAGAGATCGTTGGCATTTTATCAGCAACAATTTTATATATAATATCAACATGGACTAAACTGTATTTATTGTCTTTTACTTTTTCTCCAATAAAATCGGTCCTATCTATACTAACTTTTATTTCTTACTGCATTTTTTTTCTTTCTGTTTACATTATCTTTTGCATGGGAGCAAATATCATATTAAAAATTGAAATTTAAAAAGAGTCATTCGATGTAAAAATGCATTTGTTGAAATTGAAGAAGCGAAATGGAGAGGGTTGCGTGGATAGATTTTTTGGGAATGAATTTTTGTTTTGCTTGGGAGGGGAGGAACATATTGTCGGCCACAGGCACATATTGAAATGAAATGCAGATATCAATGACTGATTATTATTTGTTGGGGGTGTTGACCTCGTTGGAGTGACTTCAATTTCCGTTTCTATTGCAATTATAGTCAAAAGTAATAATCATACAATGAGCCATCCAGCTGTATTTGCATCTATTTATGTTTCTATCACCTTTTTTTTATGCTTTGTTCAGTTGTTCTCAAATTTCTAAATTTTCTCTTTTCCTCGTGTCTTTTTGTCATAGCAAAAGCCAAGGCGGACTCTTGTCTTCCCTATTGTAGTATTGGAGTGGTTCTGCAGGCAAATTCAAGCAAAAATGTTGTTAATGAAACTTGTTTATCAAATAGATATGGATGTTGGTTTTAGTATTTTATTTTACTAAAAAAATTGTATTTTTTAATTAAAGCATCATTATTGGCTGGAAAAATTAAAATCAAATCAGCTTGACATTTAGAAAGGATTTTTGGGTCATGAGATCAATGTCAAAAAGATTAGTTTGTCGGATCCCCTTATAGTGATAGAGATGTTGTGACATGGGAGGGAAATATTGGACCTGCATGGATTGATTATGTATTTTTGTAAAACTAAAAGTAATAGAAGACAAGTATAAGGAGAAAAAAGGGATACACATGTTTTATGCCAATAAACTTTTGCTTTCACTACTTGAAAAAAAAAGAGCGCTTGTTGGGAGGTAGGTATGTCAATGGATTTTGATTTTGATACTCAAAGTGCAAAATTCGGTTCCATCCTTTCTCGGAATCACCGCAAAGTTTTAGTGGCATTTCATATAATCAAACAGGACCAAGTCATGGAAGGCCAATCAAACACCTGTTTGCTCAGATCTCAATTCTCCCAATGTATTTATTACTTCTGTTACATTACAGATGCGCAGCGAGAAAAGTTTGATATTTTTACTTTGATTAAATATGATTTCTTTTCTTCTTAGTATTACTTATTATTTTATTAAAAAAATTATGAATAATCTTATAATTTTTTTATTTAATTTTATCTCATTATTTTTAAATAATTTAATTTAAATTTTTTTAAAAAAATTAAATTGTTAAATATTATCTATTAGTTCAAATTAACAATGACAGTATTAATGAAATTAAATGAAAGAATAATATTGAACATCGTTTTAAAATTAGATGATCAAATTGAATCATTTAAAATTAGTAGGACAAAATTAAACAAATTTATCTAACATTTTTTTGTCTAGATAAATTTAAATTGTGATTTTACCTATTTAATATCTTTTTTTTAGATATCTCTTTTATTTTGTGATCATTTTTTTTTGAATTTCAAATATTCAATTTGTTGTAATTCATGATCTTGTTAAGGCAAGTAAAAGAAAAATCAAATTTATTTAGACAAAAAAATATTAGATAAATTTTCATTCAATTTGATCTTACTATTTTTAAAATGTTTAATTTGGTCCTTTAATTTTCAAAAATTGTTCAATATTATTATTTTAAAATTATTATGTTCAATATTAATATAACATTGAATATTATTTTAAAATTAGAAGAGCAAATTCAACATTTTAAAAATAATATGACTAATTCAATCCTAAAAATAAATAGAGACTAAAAATATAATTTAACCAAAATTTATCTATTTCTAGTCACTTATTTATCAAACTAAGAATGTGATTCTTTTTATAAAAATTATCTATTTTTAACCTCTTTATTTGTGAAACAAAAAATTCAAGTCCTATATTAACTAAAAATAAGATCAACAAAAAATATATAAATTGAAACAGTATTCATTTTATAAGTTGATTTTATAATATTGAGTTAAGTTCATCTAATAATAATCAAAATTACATTAGACAATATATTTAATTTTTTTATTATTAAATATATTTGATTGCATATTGAAATCAATGTTAAGTACTTGAAAGAAAATTTCTCACTCATAATAATCTTATACCCTACTCGGTAAGTGATATTTGTTGCTTATAATAATCCTATTGAGTGGAGTGAGTATTGTCTCTTGTTAAACGATACACATGTTTTATGCCAAAATCATTTGAACGTAACGTCTAAACATTTTCCAGTTGTAACAGAACAGCATCCTACATTTTTTTTTTTTTGAAGTATAGTATAAAGTGGCCGTCTCGAAAACCTTGTTGGTTCACTTGGATCTGTTAGTGTAAAAAAATATAATACGATGATGATTTAAGTAGAGAATAAAATGCTATTAAAGTACAAGTGACTAGAGTTTAACAATTGCCTTGCTCGGCAAAACAATTTTATATTCTGGAAGTGGATCTTGCTTCTGTCTTGTTCATAACACGCAAAAGACACCCTCCCAACCCACTGCATGTGCCTTCCCTACATTATTAAAGGGGACCATTCATTGACTTTATTCTTTTTCTCAATATATGTGCAGCTTTCAGTTTTTTTTTTAGGGAAAAAAAACATTTTAATTCCACCAACAAAAATTGTGATTACTTCAGTAATGTTGTAGGGTATAAATATATTCTAGAATGTATATATCATTTTTTTCACAAAAAAAAAAATATATATGTATGGTGTCTCGGGCCGTTGCCTCCACGGGTGGAAGAAAACAAGTGTTGGAGATAAATTAGGATGGTAGGAGAGTTTTCTTTGGTTCCCCCCAAAATGGCAGCAAAAAATGAATGGAGATAGTGTACACTTTACGGTGCTAACATTTTGTCTCTCGGTTAATTTAAAAGAAAAGGATAAACGTGAAAAAATAAATCTTAATTTTGTTTAATTAAAATAATATAACCGTATATGCCTTGAAAATAAAGATCAAAATATCATTAATGAATTTATAAAATATATTTACAATTTTATTCTTTACCTTCTTTTACTCGTCCGCACTTGACTCTTAACTCATCGTCATAAAGTGAGATCTTAAGCGATTAACTCTTAACAACTAATGAAATATTTTGTCATGAATAATTTTTAAAATATCGTAATTAAGCACATTATATTCACTTAACGAAATATTTTCATTTATCAATAATAATATTTTTACTAATCAACAATAATATATTCATGCAATCACTGGAAATGTAATTTTAAGATATCATACAACATTATTTTTAAATCTAGAGATAAGATTAATTACACATATATCAATTTTACTCAAATCTCATTTTTAACATAAATTCCTCTCTAACTTGAGTATCAAACTGTCTTTGTAAGTACTTCCCATCGTCACAAATATTAGAACAACTAGAACATCATTCTTATCATTTGAGCATTTGCAGATTTTTGTAACAACATGTGTAAATTTATCCAAAATTATATCATAAGTAATAATTTTTTTAAATTATTTTTATAATACTTTTAAAGTAATAAAACAAAATATGATATATTTTGTTTTCTATTGCGTTTTTTAATTTCTTGATAAAAATTTTGAATAGTGCAAAATTAATTTTCTAATAAATAAATTGTAAAATACAAATTATAATCATCGTCAATGCCGGAGTTTGTAATAATAAATTTAAAAAGCTGGGCAATCTTGGTTGATGTTGACCATGTGGCATCATATCTAATTTCCTGTGGGATGAGATTTAGTTCATTGGCCTACTATAAGACATTTCCAATATATCATCCTACTTTGCTATGCATTCCACTGTTTTGGATTTTATTTTCCTTTTTTTAATAAAAAAACGTGAAATTTTTTGTTAAAAATGTGGTAGGTATAGTTTCTTGAAACTTGCAAGAGATTAAATTCAATATTGTTTATAAGAAAGATGTTTGCTATCAAAAAAAATTACGGATGAATTCACAAATTCCCATGGCATGAGTTCATGTGCTTCAAACAAATAAAGTGAAGGGGGTAAATTTAAATTATTTGTTCTAGCCTACCAAGTGAAAAATAAAAGTTATAACTCGTAAGATACTCGTCCCATAAAAAGGGAAATGCAAAGAATAAAGGTGGAGAATGTTGAAATTTATGGGCACGGGTTTCATCTCGTGATTTTTGTTTGGGTTTATGAAGTAAAAAAAGCAGTGTTTTAAAACCCGGACCGACCCGGCCGGTCAGACTAGTTAGACCGGGAACCGGTGGTCCAGCCAGTCCGAATATGAAGTTAGATCGGTTATGCAGTTGACCCGTTTCAAACCGGATTGAACCGGTCAATTTTCCGGTTCAACCGGTAAACCGGTGAGTCAAACCGGTTCAACCACTTTTTTTTTTTTTTTAATTTTTTTAAGGGACTATAAATCACAAAAATAATAATGAAAATTGAATCTCTTAATGAAAAAGCAAGGAGTCTTATTAAATATAACAATGACTACTTGTTCTAATATATTTGTTTGCAATATATACAACTTAAATAACTTTTATAGTATATTATTAATTTTAAATTATATATTTAATAATTCAATATCTATGTAAATATTACATATATTATTTTGTGATATTAATTGCAAGCATATTATATATGTACATATTATTTATATTTTTAATTTGTATTAATATACCGTTTAACATGTAATTTTTTTATGTATTTTTTTACAAAATAAAAATAAAAATAATTTTAAATAAGATAGAAAAATTGAAATTTAAAATAAGATATGAATTTATTAAATTTTATAAGTATAAATATATTTAATATGAATATTTTTTAATAAAAATAAATAAAAATCGAGTCATGCGGTTCAACCAGTGACCCACCAGTTCAATCTTTAACCCACTAATCCAATATCTTAACCGGTTCGATGACCGGTCCGGTTTTTAAAACTATGAAAAAAAGTGTAGAATGTAATGGAATAGTGCGTATTTCAACCCAAAAAGAAAAGAG